CCCGGAAAAATGTGAGGAGAGGTTCTCAAATTCCAATTTCGCTAGTACGGTTCCATAAGTGGTACCCTCCCCTTCAAAAAGCGAGAAAGTGTCGGGTGCAGACCATGCACCACAAGTGACGACGGCCTTCACAAAATGTTAATGTTTTCTGCCAATGAAATGATTAGCCTGTTGCAGTTGTATTCTATCGATTGTCACTAATTACAACTATCATTTACCAGAAATCAGCTATCACTATGAACAACTTCTAACCAGATTTACTTGGAGGCCGTCGTCAGTTGTGGTGTTTGGTCTGCACCCGACACTTTCTCGCTTTTTAAAGGGAGGTTATTTGAGAAAGAAAATCTGAGTTGCACAATTCCATAGCACACCTCGTATGAGCATGTGTAGCTAACTGTTAGTCAGATATCCCATATAACAAGCATAGTAAGGACATCAATGGCACTGGGGTGCTTATTGCGCTTGAGAATGGGATTGCAAGAGCGAGTTTCCAGAGGCAAAGAACTTGTTACATGAACAAAATTTATGTAGTACATTTCCTTTATGCCTTCTAAGAGCTCAATTACTTGAAGAAACCAAAGGTAAACGGAGAACTTAGTAGAAATCTTCAGATTCCTATTTATGCTCGCCAGTTCACATTTGTCTGCGACCTGCTTGAGAGCACAGCTCAAAAGATGTAGATAGAGTTTCTGAGAAAATTACGTACCGTTGTGCGTAACAACTCTGGCAGAGCCACTTTGGAGCGGTAGGTTCCGCGACGACAAGTGTTGCATAGAAGACGTCCGCACTGTGCACAACGAGTACCCGCGTTGAAGATTAAGCCGAGGCGACAATGACAGTGGAAGCACGCACGGCCCGTCGGTGGATTTGGTGTAGATCTGTAAGGAAAACATAGAAAAGAAAGACAGAGATAAAAAAATAGTGGAAAAAAGACAAGATATTGCATGCCCTGTTAACACTGGTTCAAGTGCAACGAATAATTGGGCTCGCATGCCCTCTAAAGCCAACTTTAGGCTTCCGATCCCGGGGTTTAACCAGGGGAATCACTTCTTTAAAGCTTCATGCAATCATACATACGCCCCTGAAGCTCTGGTAACCTCTTCGACTCGGAAAAACGATTGAGTTCTATCATCTAAACTCATTCATATTACTTGTGCCCTCCACCCCCTCAATTGTTCATAATCGTGGCCTGGAATTGTGCTCTTGTAGGTCAATGAGTCATCACACTGCCTGGACCTCCCGTGCCGAGCTGCACGAGGCAGCACCTTTGGAACGACTTTTTCCTTTTTTTACCTCCTCGATGAAACCCACAGTTTGCCACAATTAGTTCTTGGTGCTTGTTGTGTCCGTTCCGTGGCTAGGTTATCTAGCCGCATAAAGACGATGACTGAGATCTCCCTGGGGAGATGAGGCAGTGGCAAATAGTGATGCTTACCAAATGGCAGTAGGTTGGGCCCAGGGTCAAGCGAGGCGTCGAGGAAAATTCGGAAATACGACCCCCCCCCCTCCCTCTGCCGAAGGCCGAAGTCCATGAAACAACCCTCTTTAAAAGCCGAACTATGAAAAAGTTGTTTAATTCTCCACCAAAACTGCTCATAAAAAAGCCCTGCTACCCCATCGTCCACAAAAAAACTCGTTTAAAAAGTATAAAAGTGAAAAAGTCAAAGAATGATCATTAATGACGAGTCCTGTCAAACGAGCAAACGAGAAACGGAGCAAAAACGTCAAACTAGTCACTAGAAATGGCGTACTATGACAACACCTCTTCTTTGTTTATTTCCTCCACAAGACTTACCAAATTCTAGTACTACACAGATTATGGTTCTCAATTTACACGTCCCCTTTCGCTCAAAGGAAGCCTTGTAAAAGCCTTCGCCAGCTGTGTGTTGACTGGACTTTGGCGTTGACCGTGGAGCAGCTTATTTACTATTGAAATTTGAACAAATATTCAAATGATTATAACTTTCTTCAAAGTTAACGAATTTTCAATCTGAAAGCTGATTTGGGAGTTTTGTGAAGAGCTTTTTCTAATCAGTACTGAAATTACAGGAAGTTATAAGAAATAACAAATTTAGATCAAATAACGAGGAAAATTCGAGACGAGCACGAGTTTTTACACTTTCCGGAGCAATAACTTGCTTCATTTCCGTCAAATTCAAAAAGTTGATACGTCATACAAAACTAGAAGATTTTCTCTATCAAACGGTCGCTAAAGCAGCTTCATACGTCCAGTACTCAAAAAATGGCCACGTTGAGGATTTTTGCAAAATTAACGAGGAAAATTCGTGATGAGTGCGAGTTTTTACGCTTTCCAAAGCCATAACTCCGTTCAAACTCATGCAATCTGGAAAGTTAATACGTCATCATAAACTAGAAGATTTGCTCTTTCTATAGGCAACTAAAACTGCTAAATACGTTCACTATTTAAAAAATGGCCACGTTGAGGATTTTTGCCCGAGTACCGCCGAAAGGTACTTTTCGCTACATTAGCACTATCCCAACGACTATAGCTCCTTGCAGGAGCGATTACATACTGAAGTAGGAGCAGATTCAAAATCCTCGTGCTTTTCTCTCTGCAAAAAGTGTAAAATTGTTTAGCGGGTCTCAACTTTAAAGGTTACATGCTTGTGAATTTGACGCTGAAGGCTGCGTTTCTTGTTGAATAGTGTACTCCTCTCTGTAATTTAACATGAACTCTTTCAGAACCCTCTTGATTCTTCCTGAATTAAGATTCGTTATCAAGATAGCCGTAGCTGAAGCGCGCGCAACCAACTGGGCCCACTCTGGGATGCGCCGTGTGCTTCACATCTCGTTGGATTTGAGGACCTACTTGAAAGATAAAATATCCCTAGAAAACGTGCGAATTTCGGATCCTTTGACTTGTGTGGTGATGAAACACTAAAGTCACTAAGAATTGCTAAGCGGACACCTCTAAATCACGAAGATTTTGTGTGGACGGAATCAATTGTTATTGGAAATACTCTGGCCTGGTATCGATTCGATCCTTAATGTTTGTCCTCCGACGATGATCCTACTGTATCAATCGGGCCCGATCTCTCCCCAGCGGGCCAATACGACCCCCCCCCTCTGTGACATGTCGAGGATTCCTCAACGCACGCTTGACCCTGGTTGGGATCCTACCAAGGTCATCTCCAATGTAGTTCCGCTGCTGCAGTGCAGTTACTGCTCTCTCAACCCTTCAGAAGACAAGAACCATATCCCTACATGCAGTTGGGCCCGCAAGTCCCATTGCTAAGTTCCTGGACAGCGAAAGTGTTCCCTGCGCTCTCGGAAGTGAGTTGCAATTTGGCTTATCGTGAAAACCTGACAAGACCAAGATCGGGACCAGGTTTCGTCCCTTACCCATTAAAAGTTCTGAAAGGCCCCGCAACTGATTTCTTGCTTCTATCACTTCGGCCACTTCCCCTTCTTACTCACCTGGCTACAGTAGGTCGATTACTTCGAAACGAAGTAATGCTAACCATACTATCGGATGAAACGCTTGCATTAATGGATAGCCGGGGCGTCTTCTCACCACGGCGGTTGCATTTCTGACATTTCCACATAAGATTTCAGCTGCCTGCAAGAACAAAACTGTATTATGCTGAAAAAAGAACACTTTCTGGAACAATTTCTTTAGCTCGAAATCTCCTCACCGTAGTCGAGCCTTCTCCCTTCGCTGGAAATTCCAAATCACGCTCCAGTACCGGTCGGATAATGGCCTGCTCTCGAGGCTCAGCTTTTTCAATAAATCATAGAGCTGTTCAGTTTCCTCCATAGACATCGCAGCTGAAAGAACACCTTAGCTACTGGAACCCTACACTGATGATGGTGTTAATGTATAATACAATATTAACTGTAATAATATTCAGTTTTTTGATAACAAAGCGCAGTCGAAGAGTGGACGTTCGCTGGTAAATTTCTGTATTATTTTTATACGAGAATACCTGCTTATATACGCAAAAAGTTTTCCTCTTAAAGGCAACCGCGGGATTTTTTTTTTTTTTTAGCCCGACTAGTAGGAAGGATACCGCGAGGGAAATTGTAAGACCCGTACCTACCTAGATCACTTCAACTTGGTCGCGAAAATCGCGCGGTTAGGGCGCTAATCCTTACGGGCCTCCAACCATCGAACGCTTCCCACCCACCGCGAGATGTGGTGAGATCAGCGTGCATTGATGTAGAGATCAGCGTGCTCTCTCAAACGACGTTCTCTCTCGCGTGTTTTGACCTCTCTGATCGCCCTGTCTTGCCGTCGTACCACATCCGACCTTTTTGAAGGTTAAGGCCTTAAGTTCAGCGTTCCCAAAGAGTTCTCTCGCTTCCCTCTCCACTTTGGGGTCGCTCCGCAGCTAAGCTATCACTGCGAAGCGCTCTTAGCACCAGTTTAATTCCGGAGTTTGCCTTTAAGGAAGCAACCAACGACTGCTCAAAAGAAATGATTACCCCACGAACTAATGGTCAGAAGGACGGCACGACATTAGATTCCCACCCAGTTGTTTCCAAAACACTCGCAACGATGGGTTCAGGTGAATAAATCTATCGTGCGCCATCCAGGAAGCGGAAAATAGTCACTCTCAAGGCTCGAAAGCGCGCGTCCACTGGGCTGGCGCCTTGCCACTTGGTCTGCCGCCCAGTTCTACTTAATTTCGAGTTGCGAGGGTCCATAAAGCGGGGTGTTTGCGCGTTTAGTCCGCTACGCCCTTTCGCTTAAACTCTTTCCCCGTAACTCAGTATCTTTTCAATTTATTATTAACACAATCCACCTCACGGAAGGAAAACACTTTATCTGAGTGTTTCCTTAAAGGAATCTTCCACGGAAAGACTGCTTATCCTTTCCTTGTGTGTGTTGGGCATGGTCATTGAAGACCATATGCAAAGTTCAGAGCGAAAATGATGAAACCCCCAAGAGAAACAGCCCTTGGAAAGACCCATCTGTGGGACCGGATTGGACCAGTAGGCGGGACCGGAAGTGCTTCTGTGACGAAGTGCGTGGCAGGTGCGGATCCACGTGTCAGTTTATGGGAAGGGCCCAACATGAATCCAGTTCACGTTCACGCTTTTGACACGTTTGCACGTGTTGACTCCACGCCGCTAACAGTTGTGGAAGTTTTACAGCGGGAATTCAAAATTTTCATAGTCGAACTGGTTATCATAATTATTATCAAAACCATCGCCTATGTTCCGTTCTTTTTGCTATCTTCATGAAGCAAGGGGCCTAAGGTATCGTTTTTTTTGTAGGAATGGAGGCGATGTTTTTCCGTGGAAGATTCCTTTAATTCTATCTTCTTTTCTTCTTGACAGCCAACGACCGGTCCTTTTCTAACTCAGTTTTCAAGTTCGTGCGGGATGATTACACCAATTTGGTTTCATGGCCTGTGGCTTTAAGGTCGATTGCAATATTTTGATCACGACTACGTTTCCTTTAGCGCCTCTTTCGAATCTTCACATCCTATCTTTCCTTGCCATAAGAGCCCTAATCCCTAGAATGATCACCAAATTTGCTTAGGACGGTAGTGGTTCCCAATTCAGATGAGTCTCAAAGAGACAGGAGAGCCAATCACGAGTTCCTTGAGACATCCAAGGTTAAAGGCACGCTCCGGGATTAGGCGCGCTCGCCTGTTCCATCCCGGGGTAGTAGGCAGGCGGACAAGCGTTGATGTCGCGCCCCTTTTGCCGCTTGAAAGTGCGCGACAAAGGCGCAAGGAGCTCGTCCGACCCGCAACTCACACCTTCGTCCGCAAGCCCCTGTCGGTTGCCACGTGGCGCTGCTTGAAAAGCGCGGGCGCATTTGAGGCAGTGGTCCCAGCGCGATCCAATGTTATTGACACTGGAGCAAGTAGAGTTAGGTTCGTGAAACTCGTCCAATTCGCCTCTTCCCAAGGTGGAATGTGGCTGAAATAGGGGAGGTCTCTGTACGGGGCGTAATCGGTGGTTTCGTTTGCTTTCCTTCTCTTTTCCAGACCACCTCCCACCTCTAGCTTCATAATATCTATGAGAAACGCAAGCATATGTGATACAGGTGACGGGCAGTTGCCACACCTAGTAGACAAGAACGCGCCAGAAAGATGAAGAACAAAAAAGTGGTCCCTACAATGCGTATCAGTTATAAAGGAATTAGTAGAAGACGATACGAAGATGAAGTAAAGAAGTCAGGTGACATTACGAGAGCCAGGAAACTAAGTCGATGGCTGTGGAGATCGAACCACTCAGCTAATAATCGCCTCGAGCCAGCGCTAAGTTGTTTTTCATGGTCTTTGCACGGATTCGCTCCACTTTTAACGATTCCCTTCCTAAAACTAATAAATTTGGCGCATCCCAAAACTCATCTACTCCCTGTTCGCTTAGTAATTTACGAACGGGAATAGTGGCAAGTGGGGCTAAATGCTTCACCAATGGTCCGGGAGCCAAACTCCGGCCCGAATTTCGTTTAGACCAACAAGCCTCCTATCAAACCCCTCCGGGGTAGGTGACTTGGCACCATACTGGCATGAAAGAATAAATCACGGACTTTTCCAGTAGCTCTCGCAAGTCTTCTATAGATTAAGTCGCACTCAAATGCTACTACAATTCCGAACGGAAGCAGAATACGTGGCGCACTCCAAGTAGTATTGATCAACACCGAACTTCCTCTATTATTTGCCACGAATCAAAGAACACAAGTGAAGCCATTTTAAGCGATAATTCCAGAGCCTTTTGAAAAGAAAATACTATGCGAAAAAAATCGATTATTGATCGGTAAAATGGGTCTTACTTGGTGGAAGAGACCTGGATCGTTTCGACATCGTCCTCAGATATGAAATCACCACGTATAACGATAGTTCTGTAAATGCGCTGGGTTGGACCCAACTTTGATCAGTTAAAACCCCTGAAAATTATTTGGGATATTCAAGTTAGTCATAAAATGGTCAAGTCGTAAACTTCAGCATGAGGCGATTTAAACGAAAAAGCGTCCAGATAGATTATATGGCAAATCAAAGCTATACCTCAGTACTCAACACTGGTGTGCAAAACTTAAGGACGAACTTAAATTTTCCGTGACGTGTTACTGCCGAGTAACACAGCTCTATAGAACCTAACCTCACACATAAAGAACTGGTTCAGTACTGTACAAAACCAAATGACATGAACCGCTAAAAGATCCACAAAGCTATCAGTTACTCAGTTTACTTCATCTATGTCGTCCTTAAGTTTTGCACACCAGTATATTATAGCATGTAGGATAATAAGATAGCTAAGAGAGAGAGAGATAAGATAACTCCAGAGATACTCTAATCTCAATAGAAAGCTCTATTGAGATTAGAGTATCTCTGGAGGACCAAGAAGATGTAGTTCTTGTACAGCCAAAGACTGGAGTTACCTTGAAAAATAGTGGTTTACTAAGCTGTCGAATACTATCAAAATGCTACCGCAACTTCGGAACTACCGTAATAAGGAAAGCTTCTGCGTAAGCAGAAACTGCCGACAGGATAAAAAAGGCAACTATGTTCAGCTTCGATCTGAGGAATTTTGTTTCGTGGATGAATGCACCAGAATCACAGTGAAGATTTATAATTAGTGATTGAAATTCTAAAGAGGGACATTCCAGAATAGACATTCCGAAATCTTGAACGTCAGCGCCATCGTCGAAAAAAGCGCGGTCGGCAGACGCTGCTGAAAGATTTCCTTCTCGAAATGGAGTCGTCGTCAGCAGAGCAAATGCACACGCAATCGGAACTGAAAACGGATGGAAACGTCGTTTTGGAATTGTGACAAGCATCCGAAGACGAGTCGAAAGGCATGGCGAGTGCGTTTTCATAAA